ATTTTCGTTGCTACTTCATAACTGTAATGTAGCTACTGTTATGAATCATAATGTAAATATCTGATATGTAGGATGGTTTTAGGCCACCCCTGTGAAAGGGTTGTTCAACCCCCAAAGGTGTCGCGACCCATAGGTTGAGAACCGCTGCTCTACATTGTCACAAATGGAAAGATTTGATTTTTTTTTAGGCTGGGTACTATTTTATTATAAATATATAATACATGTTCTTTATCTAATAACCTACTGATAGTCTCTTAGGTTGTTTCCATATCTTGCCTATTGTAAATAATGCTGCAATGAATTTAAGGATGCATGTATCTTTTTGAATTTGTGTACACTTGAAACTAATATTATACTGAATGTTACTGATAAGTTAAAAATTATAATAATAAAAATCATCTGGCCCAAGGATGCCAGTGGGGAGAGGGTCAATGCAACTGAATTTGTGCCTGTGAGGTTGGAGCCTGGGCCCTCAGACTCCAGCTGGACATTAGTGGAAACTTATGCCTCAGCCGACTCTCTCCACTTGGTCCACTCTGAAAGAGGCAAAGTCACCATTCTCCTTTTTGTACATCTCAAGGACTTTGTCTGCTTGTTTTCTGTAGACCTCAGTCTCCTCAAAGAAATCCAAGAGTACAGGGCTTTAGTATTGGCCAATGCAGAAAAGACTGGAGAAAGAAATGGTTGTTTTGTGGCTAAACAGCACTGTCAATGCCATGAATTAATACATATATGCATGGTGGAAACAATAACAATAGCTCCTGTATTACAGACTGGGTGAATTGAGGGTTGGAGAGGCTAAGAAACTTGTTCCAGCAAATCAGCTAATCAGCAGCAGAGCTAAACTTAAACCCAGATCCTTCTGATATTCAAGTCTCGGTTGTTACCCTATTCAGATGCTCCAAACCCATCATTCATAAAGTGTGAATATTTCAATAAACTCTTCCTATCTCTGCCAAGGAGGGAGAGCATCATTAAAATGAAGTTTTGCCCAGAGAGAGAAGATACAGCTCAGTCTTCTTTAAGGCAAACTCCTGTAGGAGTTGCTTGGTTGCTGAATTTTTGTATATTGAATTATGCTGAAATTTGCTATTTTTAAAGGAACTCTGTGATAATTCTCTTGGAAAAAGTAAATAAAAGAACATGGACTTTAGAGTCAACACTGGTGGGGTAGGTTTAGGGTCACCATATTTTGTCTGTTTTTCTATGGCCAAGTAATTTAACCTCTTTGAACCTCTTTTAACTCTAAAATAGAAAGTCTCATAATGTTCATAGTCTTGTTATGAGATTAAATGAGACTGCTGTTTAAACTGTAGTATTAATACATAAGTTTTACATGTTGAAGTCAACATATTGCTAAGTACTTTGGAAATGTACTACCCAGAGCATCTTATTTAATTCTAACGAAGACCCAAAGAGCTTATACTATTATTAGCTTTATTTTACACATGAGGAATCCTTAGAGAAGTTAAGTAACTTTCCCTCAAGACCATGAAACTAGTAAATTATGAGATTGGGATTCATAGTCAAGCCAATCTGACCCAAGACAGAGCCCATGTTCTCTATAATGATGTTCTACTGCCTTATGTAGCTTTCTATTTTAATGTATTTAATTTCTTGAGAAGTGTATCAATTATAGGGGAAGACCCTCTTGGACTCTTTTCAGGAGAATGAGTAATAATCAAGTCCATGAGCATAGGTACCGACCATTTTTGATATGTAAATCATAGTATTATATGTTAAGTACCACTGTATGAATGAATTCTATATCAATCTAGAATTAAGTAGTATTTTAACAGATTATTATATCAGAGCTTGTGGTGCAGTTGGAGTCATTCACTCTAAGATCCTAAAATTCACTCAAATGTGTTGTAGCTATTGCCTTACACTGTCTAATCACCTGTAAGAAAGAGGAGTTTATCATTGTGTACTGCTTTCTTCGCGTTGAATATGAAGACACAAAAAAGTGATGCAACATACCTATTATCCTTTAAAATTTATTTGTGGTTTCTCAACAAATCCTCTTTCAAAGCTGTATTTTCTTAATTTGTATCTGTGAGTTAGATGCCTTAGGCACCCAAAATCCTCATCATGAGAACCACAGATAAACTGTTTAAACAGATTATGGCCATATCTCAAACATTTTCAAGAAGAAAAAAAAATGCAAAAATTCCTAGGTATGTAAGTGTCTTATTTTCTGGAACTAAAATCTTAGATCTGTGCTTTTTCATCTTTGTGGTCTTCTCCTGTGGCAGACAGCCAGGGATCGGATTACCCATGTGCAAAACAGCACAAGATCTCATTTCTCATGATAATTGCAATTAATCTCTTTTGGCCACTCCTGCACATGGGACCAGTCTTCATAGGACACAATTGCAAGTTCATAGGTTCTACACCCATAGACTATCAGGGCCAGATAGGGCCTTAGAGTTTATCTACTCCAACCTCCTCCTCTTATTTTACAGCTGAGAAGATGGAAATCTAGCGACATTAGGAGATTTGCACAAGGTTGTAGCTGGTCATGCTATAACAAGCCCCACTGAGATATCTTGAACTGGGTTCCTAGGTATGGTTCTCAAGAGAATATTACTCAAGGTCGACATAATCTTGATGAGTCAAAAGACAGAAACTGCTCTTCCACTTTTGCTGTGGCATACAGCTACCCTGGGACAACAGAGTAGACAGAAGTCAAGAATAATAAAAAGACGAGAATGGTACAATGTTTACTTACTATATAAGATGGATATCTAGAAATATTTGGCTCACAGTCATCCCAGTGTTTCCTGGATTGGACTGGGCAGTCGGATTCTTTCACTTCTAAGACAAAATAGTGGACATCTGTGGGTTCCTAAAAAATTCCAAGAAAGCAACAGTGTAACATGTGGGAGCCCAGTATGTTTTCATTAGAAACAATCTCTTGATTTCTTAAACAGAATTTCTGTTCCTTTCCAAATAATTGCAAATGTCTACTTTTGTGTCATTTGAACTAATTATTTGAATAAGTAGATTGAAAATATACTTCCAAATGTTATTGTTAATTAGTCATGATGTTGCTTCTGTTCATGAGCTTTAAAAAACAATCACTAAATAGGATGATTTGTTTGGGCGGAGATGTTGAAGGTGTAAACCTAGAAATTATAACTGATGACAACCACTTCAGGAGCTCCAATCTGTATGCACAATTGTGTCCTCTCACCCAGCTCTTTCCTGAACTTGGTCTTCTTGCCTTAATTTCAACTTGCCCAAACCTAAAATCAGCTCTTCTCTTACATAGCAGCTACCTCTCTCAATTTATCTTTCCTTTTGTCAATGACACCATTAATTATTTCCTGCCGTAGACTTTGACTGCAAAAAAATGTGACATCAACTTTGATTTCTTTCTTTGCTTTTGCTATCTAGTCACCAGGCCTTGAATGGTCTTTCTTTGAAATGTCTCATGTCTTTTCTTCATTCTCATTGCCATAAATCAAACCGCCTTGGTCTGTCTTCATTTCCTCATTCCTGAACACTTCATATAGCTTTCTTGTTCAAGCCCGTGCTTCTTGCATCCATTTCCTCAGGTATACTGTGCTCCCTGCCCCCTCTCAGAGATAGCCCTGGGCCAGTTCATCCTGTGTTCTATAATGTGGCAGAGATCCTGGACTGGGACTAGTAGTCACTAAGTTGCTGGTTGAATCCTGAGTCCCTGCACTCATTCTCTGCAACCTGTAGAGGCTCCACATCTAATCCTATCTAATAAAAGAGAAACAGGGTAATTAGCCGTACCTGCTACCCTTCCCATTGACTAATCAGGGCGATATGCAAATTAACTGCCAGCCAAGATGGCGGCCGGCAGCCAGGCAGCTTGAAGCTAACATGAGGCTTGCTTGCTTCAGTGATGGAGGAAGCCAACGTTCCCTGCCTGCTGCTGCCGGCCTCTGAGCTTGCAGTTTGAAACATTGTCACAAATATAGAATCTAAACAAACTCCAGAAACCTGCTCTTACCCAGCTGGAATCTCAGAGCTGGAGTTGAAACAGTGTTTTGATTATAGAACCCAAGCAAACCAGATACCAGCTTTCAGCAGCTGAGGCCTCAGAGCTGGAGCCAAGCCTCAGAGCTAAAGCTGGCCCAGAATAAAAGAAAAGAAAAAAAGTAGCGGTTGGGAACTTCAGTCACCCACCAGCCTAAAAACAGCCCTCAGCCCCTCACCCAGACTGGCCAGGCACCCCAGTGGGGACCCTCACCCTGAAGGGGCTGTGAACAGCTGCAAGCAGCCATCATCCTCTCATCCAGGCTGGCCAGGCACCCAAGTGGGACCCCCACCGTAATCCAGGACACCCTTCAGGGCAAACCAGCCGGCCCCCACCTGTGCACCAGGCCTCTATCCTATATAATAAAAGGGTACTATGCCTCCGAGCACCAGGATCAGCGGAGCTGCGAGGCCTCCCGGCACCAGGATCAGCGTGACAGAAGGCAGTGCCCAAACCCCTTGATCGCCCTGCGGCTCTGTGTGTGACAGGGGCCGGGGCCACAACCTCCCTATCCGCCCTGCTCTGTTCGTGACAGGGGAAGGTGCCCCAACCCCCTGATCAGCCCTGCTCTGTGCCTGATAGGAGGAAGCTCCCCAACCCCCTGATTGCCCTGCGGCTCTGTGTGTGACAGGGTGCGGCACTCCAACCCCCTGATCGACCCTGCTCTGTGAGTGACAGGGGGCAGCGCCCCAACCTCTTGGTCAGCCCTGCTCTGTGCCTGTTAGAGCAGAGCTCCCAACCCCCTGATCGCCCTGCAGCTCTGTGTGTGACAGAGTACAGAGCCCCAACCCCCCTGATGGGCCCTGCTCTGTGAGTGACAGGGGGCAGCGCCCCAACCCCCTGATTGGCTCTGCTCTGTGCGTTACAGGGGGTGGTGCCGCAACCTCCCCATCGACCCTGCCTTGAGTGTGACAGGGGGCGGTGCTCCAACCCCCCAATCTGGCCTACCCTGAGCATGACTTAGGGTGGCATCACAACCTCCTGATCTGCCCTGCTCTGTGCATGACAGGGGGCGGCGTCCCAACTCCCCAATCGGCCCTGCTCTGAGCCCGACCAGGGGCTGCAACTAGGGATTGGGCCTGCCCTCTGCCACCCAGGAGCAGGCCTAAGCCAGCAGGTCGTTATCTCCCGAGGGGTCCCAGACTGAGAGAGGGCACAAGCCTGGCTGAGGGACCCCCCTCCCCCCTAGTGCACACATTTTTGTGCCCTGGGCCTCTAGTAATTTAATAAGCATCAACTTAGCTGCTTGTCCTCTATGGTACTTTATTGTCTGACCTCCCTGATTTTGGTGGTTCCTCCAAAGGGTAGGTTATTTTGGGGAGTGGGAAAAGAGGCCTCCCTCCTTCATCTCTAAGAAGCCCTCAAATCTATTTCAAATAAGTATATAAGGTATGTCAGCGATTTTCAATATTTTCATCTCATGGCACATATAAACTAATTAGTAAAATTGTGCTGCACACACTCACAAATATTTTTTTTTGCTGATCTGACAAGAAAAGTTATAATTTTGAAACATTCCCTTTGGATAGCTTTGATGTGTTGGCTGTTGTCTTTTTATCATTTGAATATCTAAGTTACAAGAGGTCAGTGGCATGTTTTAAAAACACCTGTGCCAACCACTTCAAAAATACAACTAAAAGACATAATGGACATCATCCAGAACCACAGGAAGGCTGGCTGAGTGGAATTTCTACAACTAGAAGGAAAGAGAAAAGCATACCGAGACTCAGAGGAGGTGCGGTTCTGAAGTAAATACAAAGGTGTGGAGGTGCATGCGAAGAGGGCTGGTAGCCGAGGACACGATTGTCTTTTTCAATTGGGAGGGAGTCTCAGGCTCTGAGCTCCAGTTCTGGGTGAGTCTTTGGGAACCCAGACTCATACAGGAGAAACAAGACTGTCTGGCATTGGTCGGACCTCGAGGGCAGCTTTCTCTCTAAGGCACTCACAGCGATAGCCAGGACCTCTGAAGGCAGGACTGAAAGCAGCCATACTGCTGGCGCACTCGGCCTGCCTTGTTGATCCCCTGGGACCCCGCCCCACCCAAGCCAAACACAGAGGCTTTTGCATGTGAAATGCCCGGCCCTTTGTAATCTGAAAATAACTTAACAGACTGCAGCTGCCCCAAGGCTCCAGGGCAACTTGCATTGCTTTACAGCTGGCTCTGCTGGATAGCTGCAGTCAGAGGCTGGAATAGCACCTCCTTAGATCCAAGAGCCAGTGTACCCAGTGGTCAGAGTGGGACCATCCAGATTACAACTCCTCAGATCCATAAGGGACACACTCAGGGGACAGACTCAGTGAGCACCAAAGCCCCACTGAAGCAAGTCTTGCCCCATAAGGGTGTCTTCAGTACAGAAGTTCTCCCACTGTAGACACAGCTGATTTTCATAGCCAATTGGCCTGGAGGTCAATTCCTCCCAGTGATAACTACAACAATCAAGGCTTAACTACAACAAGACTGTGCACAAAAATCACAAAGGGGTGCACCAAGAGTGTCCACCTCGGGTAATTGGGGAGGCTGAGCCACTGGGCCCTATAGGACACCTAGCACAGAATGCCACTCTACCAACACAGGGAAGCATAAAAAATGCAGAGACAAAGAAACAGGTCACAAATGACAGAAATGGAGGAAAGCAAACTACTGGGTATAGAGATAAAAACCACACTTCTATGGTTTTTCAAGAATTTTCTAGAAACCTCCAATAAACTTAGCGAGACCCTCAAGAAATCTAGTTAGACCCTCAAGGTTATGATAAAGGACCAACTAGAAATTAAGCATACACTGACTGAAATAAAGGATATTATGCAGAGTTCCAATAGCAGACTAGAGGATCCCAAGTATCAAGTCAAAGATTTGAAATATGAAGAAGCAAAAAACACCCAACCGGAAAAGCAAGATGAAAAAAGAATCCAAAAATACGAAGATAGTGTAAGGAGCCTCTGGGACAGCTTCAAGCGTACCAACATCCGAATTATAGGGATGCCAGAAGAAGAGAGAGAGCAAGATATTGAAAACCTATTTGAAGAAATAATGACAGAAAACTTCCCCTACCTGGTGAAAGAAATAGACTTACAAGTCCAGGAAGTGCAGAGAACCCCAAACAAAAGGAATCCAAAGAGGACCACAAGAAGACACATCATAATTAAAGTGCCAAGACAAAAGACAAAGAGAGAATCTTAAAAGCAGCAAGAGAAAGACAGTCAGTTACCTACAAGGGAATACCCATACGACTGTCAGCTGATTTCTCAACAGAAAATTTGCAGACCAGAAGGGAGTGGCAAGAAATATTCAAAGTGATAAATATCAAGAACCTACAACCAAGATTACTTTATCCAGCAAAGCTATCATTCAGTATTGAAGGTCAGATAAAGAGCTTCACAGATAAGGAAAAGCTAAAGGAGTTCATCACCACCAAACCAGTAGTATATGAAATGCTGAAAGGTATCCTTTAAGAAGAGGAGGAAGAAGAAAAAGGTAAAGATACAAATTATGAACAACAAATACACATCTATCAACAAGTGAATCTAAAAATCAAGTGAATAAATAATCTGATGAACAGTATGAACTGGTGACTATAATAGAATCAGGGACATAGAATGGGAATGGACTGACTATTCCTGGGGGGGGGGGAGGGGTGTGGGGGGTGTGGGAAGAGATTAGACAATAATCCTGCACCTATGGATGAGGACAGTGGGTGGGGAGTGAGGGTGGAGGGTTGGGTGGGAACTGGGTGGAGGGGAGTTATGGTGGGAAAAAGAGGAACCAATGTAATAATCTGAACAATAAAGATTTAATTAAAAAAAAAGAAAATGAAGAAATATGCAAAACATTAAAAATAAATAAATAAATGAATAAAATAAAACATGCAATACCTGAGCCGGTGTGTCATTATTTTCTGTCATTATTTCTTCAAATAGGTTTTCAATATCTTGCTCTCTCTCTTCTTCGGGCACCCCTATAATTCGGATGTTGGTATGCTTGAAGCTGTCCCAGAGGCTCCTTATGCTATCTTCATATTTTTGGATTCTTTTTTCACTTTGCTTTTCCGGTTGGGTGTTTTTTGCTTCTTCATATTTCAAATCTTTGACTTGATACTTGGGATCCTCTAGTCTGCTATTGGAACTCTGCATAATATCCTTTATTTCAGTCAGTGTATGCTTAATTTCTAGTTGGTCCTTTATCATAACCTTGAGGGTCTAACTAGATTTCTTGAGGGTCTCGCTAAGTTTATTGGAGGTTTCTAGAAAATTCTTGAAAAACCATAGAAGTGTGGTTTTTATCTCTATACCCAGTAGTTTGCTTTCCTCCATTTCTGTCATTTGTGACCTGTTTCTTTGTCTCTGCATTTTTTATGCTTCCCTGTGTTGGTAGAGTGGCATTCTGTGCTAGGTGTCCTATAGGGCCCAGTGGCTCAGCCTCCCCAATTACCCGAGGTGGACACTCTTGGTGCACCCCTTTGTGATTTTTGTGCACAGTCTTGTTGTAGTTAAGCCTTGATTGTTGTAGTTATCACTGGGAGGAATTGACCTCCAGGCCAATTGGCTATGAAAATCAGCTGTGTCTACAGTGGGAGAACTTCTGTACTGAAGACACCCTTATGGGGCAAGACTTGCTTCAGTGGGGCTTTGGTGCTCACTGAGTCTGTCCCCTGAGTGTGTCCCTTATGGATCTGAGGAGTTGTAATCTGGATGGTCCCACTCTGACCACTGGGTACACTGGCTCTTGGATCTCTAAGGAGGTGCTAATTTAGGCTCTGCCTGAGTCTACCCAGCAGGAGCTACGAAGAGATCTGCAGATTCCCCCTCCTTGTTTGGGGTTTGGAGGTGCCCAAATGAAGCCCAGATGTGAAGCAATGCAAGCTGCTGTTGGGCCTTGGGCCTTCTCTTGGAAGTTCTGGGTCTGTCTGGCCCAGCTGCAGTTTGTTAGGTAATTTCCAGATTGCAAAGGGCCAGGGCATTCATATGCAAAAGCCTCTGCCACAGCTTGGGTGGGGCGGGGTCTCAGGGGATCAACAGGGTGGAGCAAGCAGCTATGGCTGATCCTCAGCCCTGCCGTAAGGGGCCCCGAGTCTCAGTGTCCTGGTAATTGCTGCAAGCACCTCCGAGGGAAAGCCACCCTTGAGTTCCGAGTTCCGAATTCTGCCCACAGCCAGACTGTCCAGTCTCTCCCTGCATGAGTCTGGGTCCCCAGAGACTTCCCGTAACTGGAGTTCAGAGCATTTGGGGGCTTGTGACTCCCTCCTGATTCAAAAAGACAGCCTCGTCGTCCGTTGCCAGCCCTTGCCGCTTGCGCCTCCATACCTCTGCAGTCCACCTCCACAGCTCCTCTGAGTCTCAGTGTGCTTTTCTCTTTCCTTCTAGTTGTAGAATTTCCACTCAGCCAGCCTTCCTGTAGTTCTGGATGATGTCTGTTTTGTCTTTTAGTTGTATTTTTGAATTTGTTGTGGGAGGCAGCAATTTCCGGTGTTTACCTATGCTACCATCTTGGTTTCTCCAGGTATTGCATGTTTTAAAAACTCCTGTGGCACACCGGTTCAAAATTCCTGATCAAAGTGAAGAGTGTAGGCTTACTTTGCATCAAGATAAGCCTACATTATTTCTTCCACCCTGCTTGCTGTGCCAAATATCACACAGAACTTCCGGAATTCCCCTGCTTGTGTCTAATTACTCCCTAATACTCTCCTTCCTGATTTCTTACCCACATAGAGGTGGTAGTCCTGAAAGTTTCCTGGAATGCCTTTAACCCAGCCCATGTTCCTGTTCAAATCCTGCTTCATTTGGATTTCCCAAATGAAGCATTCTCTCATTCAATGGTAATAGATCTTTCATTAGATTGTCCAGCATCAATAATACTCACTCGGTCACTTAAATATATCCTACCTTACACAGGGTGTGTGTGTGTGTGTGTGTGTGTGTGTGTGTGTGTGTGAATGTGTGAGCTCACACATTCCTTAAGGGCAAGTCTTACAGTTCATTATAATTTTACTCTTATAGCACTTAGCATTTGATTGGACTTAGCATCTGTGCTTATAAGTATTTACAGATTGATTCATAGTTAAGGACATACTAATAACAGATATTACTTAAAAAAAAGAATATTCTAGAGCAGCAGCAGAACAAAAAAGAAAAGCCTGACCAAGGCCATTCCATTGTGCAAAGCAGTAGGCTTAGTGACTAGAGTCACACTTGCCCCTGGTGCATGGTTTCCCAACTAAGCTCTGCCATTGGCAATTCCTTACCACTTTTTCCAAGTGGGCATCTGTGACCCGCAACAACTGAAAAAGGAGGTCATCCGAACGTCCTTTATTGATCAGGTCTAGAGCATTTCCAGCCAGGGGCTCAGTAGTCTTTCTACATTTTTGTTGTGTAAACTGAATGTTCACTGCTGCAACCTTTTGTGGCTGGGGTTCAGGATCTGAAGAAGAGACTGACGCACAAATGAAAATACTGTACAAGAAATAAGAATATAGAAAACATGGGGGCCAGGTAGAGACCTTTCTTTTGGAGACACATACTGAAATCTGGCCTTGTCCACTTTTTATTCAATTTCAGATACACATCTTGCCCTCAGTAAATCATGGCAAACAGGAGCAGACAGACTGTCTCTAAGGTCAATAAAGATCAGTAAAGATCAGTAAAGCCTAGTAAACATTTACTTTGAGACTATTAGGTCAAAAATTTGCTTTGAGCCACTGCTATCTCAACACAGCCCTGTTAATGTCCAAGATCCATTGGCCTTTTGCATTCCTTGGTGCACTCTTATGACAGTATTGGGAAAGTGGTGACTTCCCATATGTCCCCCTTTTTGTTTTCTTAATAAATCTTGAAAAGTGTATGCCTTCTGAAGGGCTTGAATCCTTTTAAGACTCTTCGGTCTGCATCTGCAGACTAGAAATAAACATTAAAGTACATAAATGAGACAGACAATAGTGGTTATGCTAAGAGGCAAATATAAGGAAAATAAATAAATAAATAAAATATTATTTCTACAAGTAAAAAATAATAAATAAATAAATAAAAATAAAAATGAATATAAAAAAATATAAGGAAATCCAGTGAAAAGGATTAATTACTTTTATGTCTTTTAAAAACTGATGCCAGGCATCTAAGGAAGTAGTTTGTAGTCAGCTTCTTTCTGGGCCATCAGTTCTTTATGGGTCCCCTTCTCAATCACTGTCCCCTGTGACATGATAGCAATGATATTGGAGTTCTGGATGGTGGACAATGGTGGGCAATGACAATACAGGTTCGACCTTGTCTGGCTTCGTCCTGGGCAATGTGCACCATTGCCCAACTGCTGGCTGCTATCATGGCAAGGCTTCTTTTCCATCCTTCAGGACATCTTCGGACTTTCTCCTCTGTCTCTTTCTCCTATTCCTTATCTTTAGCTTGCTGCTCAGGGCTACTGCTATCTATGACTGGAGTAGTCAATTGTCTGCAGCCACAGGTACAGGATGAAGCTCCAGATGGAAGGTCCTCATTAGTCTGGTGAGTTCCTCTTTGGGATCCATGTTGAAGTTTAATATTCCTTGCAGGAATTTAAATGGGCTTGAAGGAGTTTTCTGGAAATACACAAGCATATCCTCGACCAAAGGTGAACAAAAGGACCCTTCCATAAACCAGATTCAGGATCTTTCCATTTAACCAGACCATTTTCCTTTGGCTTATTCTGACACCAGTGTAATTCCATATGTGTCTTTCCATTAGCATTACAAGTGAAAAAATTAAAAGTAATTAAGGTTTGGTGTAGTCTACTTACAGAAGATTTGACCTCTATTCCCCCTTTTTGTTTTTCAAGTTGGGATTTTAACCACTGATGATGGCCTTCTATAATTGCCTGTCCTTGGGAATTGTATGGTATTCTCGTTATGTGCTGAATTTTCCACTTTTTACAAAATTTCAGGAAATGACAGCTTGTGTATGAAGGTTCATTGTCAGTTTTAATAATTTTTGGAATTCCCATGATGGCAAAAGCAGCTAGGCAATGATTAATAACCTGTTTTGCTGTTTCCCCTGTAGATGCAGTGGCCCATAGGACCTTTGAAAAAGTGTCTACAGAGACATGCAATACCCCATGGTGTCCAAAAGAGTATAGCGTGTTACATCCATTGCCAGATATGGTCCCTTATCAATCCTCGAGGGTTAATTCCTGTATTAGGCCCTTGAGGCAGATGTAACATGCATGCAAGTGTGACATTCTTTGATAATGTGTTTTTCCTGCTGTCGAGTGATTGAGTATTGCTTAGACAACATTTTGGCAGGCTGATGTAAAGCTGATGAGATTCTGTGACCTGTTATAATAAAGCAACGAATTAATCAGCATATCCATTTCCTTTCATTAAAGGACCAGGCAGGGTGATATGAGCCCTGATATGAGAAATATAAAAGGGATATTGTCTTTGCTGTACAATTTGCTGTACCTGTTTAAATAGTATAAATAGATTTTGGTCACTGAGACATCTTAATCAAGCAATCTCAATTCTGTTTACCAGGCCAGATATAGAGGCAGAATCAGAAATAATATTAAGAGATTCTTGGAAATCCTGCAATACAGCCTTGATACCTCCTAATTCAATTGTTTGAACAGAAGTATGACCGGTCTGGATGACTCAGTCTGAATTCATTGCATGATAAGCAGCTTTACCATTAGATGAACCATCAGTAGAAACAGTTAATGCTCCAGGGGGTTCCTACCTAGTATTTTTTTAGTATAAATAATAGGGGTGTAATATAAAAATTGTAGTAACTTGTTTTTTAGTAGGTAACAACCAAGTTCCCTTGAATATTCACTTATTTCAATTTGCTAATTCAAATCAGTCTGAAATAACAATTCTAATTGCTTCCCCATTAGGGGAAAATAGATGCATTGGGGTTCTTCTCCTCTAAGCTGCTTGCAGCGCTTTCTGAGTTGAGATATTAATTGAGCCATGAGTTCTATATATGTATCCACAGTTTTAGAGAATTGATGCCCTAGGTGGACCCACTCAATCATAGTAGGACAGTTTTTATTTTGGAACATGACTCCAGTGGGACTATTTGCAGTAGGATTAATCTGTCCTAATAAAGGCAATCCAGGCTGTACCTGTGCTACTTGGGCTGAGGAGATTGCTTGCTCATTCTTAGTAACTCCTTCCTAGCTTCAACTGTTAATGTTCAGGGAAAGGAAAGAGGAGAGACACCCCTAAGTATATTGAATACATTTTTAGTTTTTCCTAAAGAGATTTTTAGATAAGGTCTTAATTAATGTTCTCTAATAATTTTTGAAAGTCATTTAAGGTTTTATATTTCTACTTCTTAAGGCCTAATACATTGGTTTTTAATTACAGTTCCTAGATATTTGGAGGGCATTTCCCTCTGTATGTCCTCCCAGAGCAAACTCTAAGCCACATTTAGGGATTTTTTTTTTCTAAATGGATAGGCATTGCTAAAGTTTGCTTTTCCTGTGGGCTTACCATAAATCACTATATTAAAGACTTTTAGTTTCATTGGAGCAGAACAACCAACTTTGTTGCCTTTCAGAAAAACAGGTAGGAGAGAGACATTCTGGCCAATACTGCAATGTATACATTTCAAGTAAAAGCAACTTTCTTTTACTAATGGTGTCTCATTAATGGTGAGATTTTATGCTTGCGTAATAATTTTTAGTTAACTTTGTAAATAGTAGCAGAAGAGATTTTAAAATTTCTCCTTTTTATTAAGCTTAACTTTACTTTCAAACAGCATTCTTTTTGGCTAGTGCTTATTTGCATACGGATGCAAATTATACTTTGGACTTTACTAGAATGAATTGTTCATAAAATATTGGCTTCTCATACAAATGAGTTTATATGAGACTTTGATTATATTGTGAAAAGCTAACTTAATAATGTATGCACCTTTATTGAAAAAAAGCAAAATAAGCAAACCTGTACATTTGATTTATGAAGTATAGATGCCACCCCACCCTCCAGTCAATTTGAAGAGCAGGCTGGGGTGGCAGTCTGAGGCATTAAGTATGCTACTGTCTTAAAATTCCACTGCTGACTATTTTGGTTTTGCTTAAGAAGTATTCAGCAACCTTGTCCTGCCCTCCTTTTATGTATTTACCATTTACTCTGTCCTTGGCAGGGGAGACAAAGGGAGTGGTCTAGCCCTGTCTAAACTTCCCTAAGATTTTATGATCCTTTTACAACTTTTGCAAATTGTTAACTTTATAACGTATTTCTTTCTTTTAATATTTCTTTTTCCTTCTCATTACATACACAACCTTCACAAATTTCACGCTTTCAAATTAGCCTTCTAACCTTCTTCCTATGTCCTTCAAAAATGCATAACCATGCCTTAGACCTTCCCTTAAGTATTTCTACTCTAATTTTTTTTCTGTCATACCATCAGCAACTTGTACAGACCTTTTTCTTCTTTTTCTTTTCTTTTTTTTAAATTAAATCTTTATTGTTCAGATTATTACATTGGTTCCTCTTTTTTCCCCCCATAACTCCCCTCCTCCCAGTTCCCGCCCCACCCTCCGCCCTCACTCCCCACCCACTGTCCTCATCCATAGGTGCACGATTTTTGTCCAGTCTCTTCCCGCATCTCCCACACCCCTTTCCCCCCCAAGAATAGTCAGTCCATTCCCTTTCTATGTCCCTGATTCTATTATAATCACAAGTTCATTCTGTTCATCGGATTATTTATTCACTTGATTCTTAGATTCACTTGTTGATAGATGCATATTTGTTGTTCATAATTTGTATCTTTGCCTTTTTCTTCCTCTTCCTCTTCTTAAAGGATACCTTTCAGCATTTCATATAATCCTGGTTTGGTGGTGATGAACTCCTTTAGCTTTTCCTTATCTGTGAAGCTCTTTATCTGACCTTCAATTCTGAATGATAGTTTTGCTGGATAAAGTAATCTTGGTTGTAGTTTCTTGGTATTCATCACTTTGAATATTTCTTGCCACTCCCTTTTGGCCTGCAAAGTTTCTGTTGAGAAATCAGCTGACAGTTGTATGGGTACTCCCTTGTAGGTAACTGATTTTCTTTCTCTTGCTGCTTTTAAGATTCTCTCTTTATCTTTTGCTCTTGGCATTTTAATTATTATGTGTCTTGGTGTGGTCCTCTTTGGATTCCTTTTGTTTGGGGTTCTCCGCACTTCTTGGACCTGTAAGTACATTTCTTTCACCAGGTGGGGGAAGTTTTCTGTCATTATTTCTTCAAATAGATTTTCAATATCTTGTTCTCTCTCATCTTCTGGCACCCCTATAATTCTGATGTTGGTATGCTTGAAGCTGCTCCAGAGGCTCTATACACTATCCTCGCATTTTTGGATTCTTTTTCCATTCAGCCCCTCCGGTTGGGTGTTTTTTGCTTCCTCGCATTTCAAATCATTGACTTGATTCTTGCGCTCCTCTGGTCTGCTGTTGGGAGTCTGTATAGTATTCTTTATTTCAGTCGGTGTATGCTTAATTTCTAGTTGGTTCCCCATCATAACATCGAGGGTCTCATTAGTTTTCTTGTAGATCTCATTAAGTTTATCGGCGGCTTCTAAACAGTTCTTGAGAGACCTTAAAAGTGTGGTTCTG